TTGTCCCGGCACTTCCCAGAGTAGCACTCCTTTCCCTCACCACAGTCGGCATCCGCACAGCATTCGCATGTCACACACTTGCCGCTGCAGCACTTGTTTCCTGCCCCACAGTCATCGTGGGACATGCACACTTTGTCTCTACACTTGCCATTGTCACACTCCTCTCCGTCATCGCCACAGTGATCGTCGTGATAACACTCACAGATCTTGCACTGACCGTAGCAGCACTTCTTCCCGGAGCCACACTCGGAATCCTGCTTGCATGGCACCTGCTTGCACACTCCTCCAATGCACTTCTTCCCTGCTTCGCAGTCCGAGTCGGAGCAGCAGTCGGCTTGCTTGCACGTCATACCGCAGCACTTCTTCCCCCCATCACACTCGTGGCTGTACCTGCAAAGCTTGGCCTTACAAGACCCCCGCCAGCAGACATAACCATCACCGCAGTCTTCATCAGAGCAGCAGTGACAAGACTGGCATACACTCCCACAGCACCGTAGACCTGAGCCACAGTGCGAATGGCTGCTGCATGGCCCTCCCGTATGCTGGACGAAGACAACACAAGCACCGCTTTGACAAGTACTACCGGAGCCGCACTCGACGTCGGACTGGCAACCCCCACCACCTCCACCTCCACCTCCAACTCCAACTCCACCTCCTCCTCCACCTCCTCCCCATCCTCCTCCTCGTCCTCCATGGACGAGTGCAGCGAGGGAAAACAAGCTGGCTAGAAGAAGAAAGTAGCTCATCTTCGTGATCGCCACCATAGCCGAGACCTTCGGTTCGACGAGAAAGATAGAGTCTTGTCTCTACGACAGCAGATACCTGCAGATCAATCACAGCAATCACGGACGAAGAGGAGGCAGGGCGACACGTGGCAAGCGAGCGAGAGCGATCGTTAGGTCACACACGCGTAAGATTTTAAAAAAGGATTACGGACTACAATCTTCACAATTTAATAGAATGTTCGGTCATTATCTCGGTATCTAGTCGTAAATTTGGCCCACATGCAGCTACAATGATCATTCGTTCTGTTCGCTGGAAGACGGGTACTCCAGTTGGTCACCAAAACAACCTTCGTCAGATGTCGTACGTTATCAGGAACAGATACGACCGCTGTACGTGGACTGAAATTTGCCCCACATGCAGCTGAAAAAAAAAAAGAAGCGTCAAAATGAGAGCAGATGACACGTGAAAGATCTTTCACGTAGCTCCGCGTTGACGATCCGGGGCCATGTCCCATGTCCCATGTCCCACTTCTCGAGTATGCATATGCCTTCTTGCCATACGATCTGAAAATCTCACGGCCCTACTGTGACCACGTTTTTCGAAATTAAGCTCCGCATGGTCTGTAGATTGCCCTATTGGGCCCTTTCCTCAAGTCGGCAGACGGGTACTTTTGCTACGATACTTCTCTGAGCCGGGGTATATCTGCAATTTTATCCTGGGCGGGTCAGGTCTGCAATGATATTTCAAGGCCGTTTCCCTTATTAGTTAACCAAACAAACAAACAAACAAACAAAAAAAAAAAAAAAAAAAAAAAAAAAAAAAAGCAGAAAGGAAATAACAACAGCCATGAACGGTATCCCAACCTTTATAAACACGATGGAAATGCAATAAAAGACAAGGCTTAGCATGATCAGTACTACGGAAATCTTATCCAGAACATATAAATCTTGCATCAAACTGATACCGTGGGCCTCGCTCCACTACTATCGAAATGTGCAGAACGAGAGTGAATGTTCCTCTAGAATATAGAAAGATACACCACCATGATTTTTGTCTTATGTGCATTTCTCGAGTAGTGGAGCGAGGCCCAGTGTCACAGGTGCGCCATCTCTCACGTAGGCTGACCATGTGATCACGTCAACGGAAATTCATTGACAACGGCCATGAGCCTTACCCAAACCTTATCCTGAATAGATAAAGACGTCATCTAATCCTAACGACGAACATGCAGTTAACTACCAATGGGCGTAGATCAGTTCGCACACACCCAATAAACTGTTGAAATACAAACCCATTTTTTTTTAATTTTTTTTTTAATTTTTTTTTTAAGCAAACCCAATTTCGAATCCAGCTGCAATCAGATGAACAGAAAAATAATCATACTGAGTACCTTGGGCCTGGTCAGCTTAATCATGATGATACCCCAAGGCCGTCACCCTTCTATCTCCTCCCCCCTTCCCCCCCCCCCCCAAAAAAAAAAAAAAAAAAAAAAACACAGTACTAACAACACACGTGAACGTTATCCAAACCTTATCCGAATTAGATGAAACAAGCACCAAAAAACTGATCGGATAACGATTGCCATGTGAGTGATCTCTCACGTAAGCTGACGACGATCTCCTCTCCAAACAACATGCACGCAGAAAAAACGCCCACGAACGTCATCCAAACCTTATGATCCTGAACAAACTGAAGGGAGGGGAAACTGTGGCTGTGACAAACGTTTCGAGTTTGAAATTGTAGAGAAAAGACAAAAGTGGCGCAAGCCGCTGTCAGGGTGTGAGATTCGAAATGTGCAGGTTTAGCGGGGGTCTAAAACTGCACAAGTCATTACCCGCAGTGGCGCTTGGCAGATTCGGGTGGCTTTTTTTTTTTTTTTTTTTTTTTTTTGTAGCTTGGGTGTGATTCCAACGTACTTGCCCCTTTAAGTAAACACAGGATCATCTCCAAAGGACGGAGAAATGCACTACGGAGGCGACAACCATGAGCGTTATCCAAACCTTATCCACAATGAATAAATCAAGCGTCGAACTGAGATAGGCCGGTGACATGTGAGTGACCGACCTCTCACGTAAGCGGACGATATTGTCCAAACAAAGCAAAAGAAGTAAAAACAACCACCATGAGCGTTACATAAAAAACATTAACATTAAAAGAAAAAGTTATCCAGACCTTATCGAGACCTTATCCAGAATATAAAGAAAGCACACGTCAACATAATAACGTGTCACGTGCATGTGATCTCCACCTACGTGCGTTTCTTCTCCTCACGATCTTATCCAAACAACAGATACAGGCAATGCCATGCAGCTTAGCTAAACGACAACCATGCACGTGATTCAACAGATACTACCCCCGAAATAAATAAATCAATTTATTAATTAATTAAAAAAACACTTCCTGGCAATCGTCGTCATTGTGAACGGCAGTACAAAACCACATCCAAAGGGAAAAAAAAAAAAAAAAAAAAAAAAAAAAAAAAATCCGTTACTTGAAATTGGAACGACACAGAGAAAGAGAAGATTAGCATGGCCCCTGCGCAAGGATGACATGCAGAAATCGACGAAACAGGAGAGCTACGAGATCCCGGTGTACAAATAGAGACGTATGCATGCACATGCATCTGCCACCAGCGTAGGTCTCCAGATCACGATACAAGGACCGACGTCCGTTCTATTTTCCCATTTTAGAACCTGCTCCACCCCCACCCCCCCCTCCCCTCTTCCCGCAAATCGTTACACAATACATCGGACGCAGCGATCACCAGAGACCGCTGAGCGGCCGGTTACTTCCAAATATTTTCACTCCGACGGATTAGGAAGTTATGAAGTGTTGTGCTCTCTTTCTCACCTACCGATACGTTTGCTAAAAAGGAATGTTAGCATGCATACGTCTGCCCGACTGCAATGAACTGTAAACCGGAACACACTACGATCGCGATACGAAAGCACACTACGATCGGGATACCAAAACGCACTTCGATCGGGATACCAAAACACACTACGATCAAGACAGAAAACACACCACGATCGGGAAACGAAAGCCCGCTAGCATCGGGATACCAAAATGCACTTCGATCGGGATACCAAAACGTGCTACGATTGGCACATCAAAACGCACTCTTCTCCACACACACACACACACACACACACACACACACACACACACACACACACACACACGCACACACACACACACACACACACGAACACACAAACAACCTCCAGACGAGCTTGTGATAGTCCGACGAGACAGTGAAGCACAGTCGTCGTTCAATTTGTGGAGCTGTGCGCAGTGAACATGACGCGCGCACACACACACACACACACACACACATACACACACACACACACACACACACACACACACACACACACACACACACCCGGACGGAGATACATCCATTTCGGAAATAACAAAGTGGCAATGCCGGGACAGAGGCATCAGTAACACTACGCCGGATACAGACTAGGTACGTGGAAGGTATGTGGACGGTATCCAGACTTTGACGCTGCGACAACCCATTCCGGTTCATGGAGAAAATACCTTCTCAGCGTTGGACAGCGAGTTGAACCACCACCTCTCACTCTCTCCCTTGTGTCTCCTATAGCATTCCTCTGCCGTCCCTCTCTCCCACTCCTCGTCGCAACGCAGATCTGCTCCTGCTAGGTGAACTGCATGTTCAGGACTTACTTTATATAGTCTCAGACACCCCTCCCCTTCCTCCCCCCTCTCTCTCTCCTCGGAGAGGCACAGCCCAATAAATCTTGCAAACGCTTACCTCAGGCAGTCCCTAAGGGTCTATTCCTCTTCATCCCCGAACAGACCGCCTGGTCATTATGGCTGCATCTGAACTGGAAGTTGTACCTAATACAGATCTAACGACCGCGTGTTCTATTCGGGTCAGGTAAACGACTACCAGGTAGCGATCTCATATCTAAAACCCAGGTTGTGAAATCTTTTGACTTGCCGGGGGAATAGGAACCGGACGGACGCTCCCCAGAATGGATATGGAGCCAGGACCAGAAGGACCTGTTTATAAAAAAAAAAAAAAAAAAAAAAAAGTGAGGCAAG